ACCACCAAATCAATAATTCACCAAATTCACACACATGAATCCAATCCCTAGCCTCAAAATCATGTAATTGCTTATCAAATTACAACATCCACAAATACATTTCACCCAACACACACAAAATTTAACTAGCTTCCCTTAGCTCGATTTCGAGCTCTTTGAGAAAGAAGAAGGGAGAAAAGAACTTCAAGAGCTCCAATCAATTGAATGATGAAAAGAGGGAGAGGGAAGAAAAAGCAACTCCGAGCTCAACTCTCCTAAGCTCCACACCACTATACATATTGAACTAAGCTCCAAAGTCGAAAGAAATCACACCAACCACCGACACTCAAGCTCAAAGTACTAGAGACTCTACAAGAAGATAACAAAGAGAAGAAGAAAGTAACTTTGAAACTCATCTAGCTTCTCCACATTAGCAACACCTCTACAAAATTGCTTAACTCCCAATGTTACAATGGAAAGAAATCTTTGCCAATAATTAAAAAAGGAGCATATGTCCTTGTCCTTCTAAGTATATTTTAATTTAAAATTTTCAAATCTATTTGACTTATAATTAATTTGATTACTAATTATTGATTCCTAATAATAAGTAATATATATATATATGTATGAATATCGAATATCCAACCATTTGATTTACTTTAGTGCAATACATCTCTAGTATCTTTGAACAATAGTGTACCAATTATTCCCATTTGATACTTGAAATTGATTTCATTATGAATTATGCTTGTAAGTATAAATATGTATTTTTATTATTGAAAAATGGTGTCTATCATTGAGGCTTAAACTCTTCCCTCTCCCCATTAGAACGGCTTCACATTATGTTGACCCGCTCCATATCAGAGAGGTTTCCTCCTTCTTCGTGATTTGTGGTAAAAGAGTTATTATATGACGTTAATTAAGAATAATAGTCATGAAGATTGAACACAATAGATTTTCTATTGAGACCTGAGAAATAGAATTCAAATCCTCTTATCGTTGACATTGGGAGTTGGGACAAGGTGAAGATGGTGTAGTTGACGCGCTTGCCATGGTGAAGGTGGATTATGGTCGTTCACGGCAGAAGATGGACGCATATCAAGCCTAAAATCTAGGACTATTTCAAGGATAATTCAAATAATTAACTGCATTGAGATTTAAATTTTTAAATATCAAAATGATAAACTAATTAAAAGAGTGTTTAGACATGAAATTTTTTTACTTTTTTTTGGAAAATCTCATATCGAGAATATTAGTTTTCTATGTTGAACTTGTTACTTAAAAAATTACATTTCTTAGAAACATGTTTTTCGAAAATAGTTATTACATAGATTTTTCACATAATTATTTTCATTGGAGAAGTGAGAAATTAACATTTTTAAGTTAGAAATAAAATTTTAATAAAATAAAAATGTCATATTAATTTTATTTATTTATTTAATATGATAAATCATTATTAAATTGTAATTTTTTTAAAAGAAATTAATGCTTATAAGAGGTAACTGTGCGATTTGTTTAGCAAAGTTAGCTTATACATTGACTGAAAATTAAAAGCAAAAATAGTTAAATACTGTTTTTCTTTTATAAAAATGTTTAATAAAATTAATTATTAATTATTTTATAAATATAAATTAAAAAATATTTTTATGCGATTATTTACATAACTTTTTTTAAAATAAATATAATTTTAAGTTTCTGATTAATTTTGAATTTTCATTTTTTATTTAAAAATTAAAATTTTAATAAAAATTGAACTAAAAAATATAACATTTAGAATAAATATTATTATATTTAAAAAATACCAAAAATAATAAAATGCTAGTGTCGTGGAGCAATGCAAATGGTGGGTAGTTGAACGGTTGAACCACCTCTATTCTTTATTATTTCCTTCTGTACAAACTATTCAATTCTGCATTGTGTATCGTGGCCTGTATTCTGTTTTTTTTTTTTTTTAATTTAGGACTGTCTATATGTCATGAAAACAATAAACATTAATTATTATATTTTATTTAAATGATTAATATTTATAACTTATAAGTTAAAAAAAAAAGTGCACGTGTTTTTCAAGCAATAATGATGCGATTATTAATTTTTTTTAAATTTTAATTAATATATATTTAATCTTATAATAAAACTTATTAATTTGATATTTTTAAAATGATTATTATTTTTATTATATAAATTTATTAATTATACATTTTTTTCCTCAAGTTATAATAATTATAGATATTTAATTATTGTAATTTAACTGCAGTGAATCCTTTTTTCTTATCTTTTGAATTAAATAACAAGAGACAACCTAATCTAATATTGACGAAATCAATAATCTTATCAACCAATATTGAATTTAGAAAAGAAAAATGATTCCATATAAAATGATGGATCGTAATTTTTTTTTTAGGTTAATGATGAAACATAATTGAAATTTTGACGGGACATTTGTTTCTGGGAATATTATATTTTTAAAAATCATATTTTTGAAATTTTATAACTTAAAATATTATGTGTGAGAAATTTTATATTTCTCGTAGAAATATAATTTTTCTACTTATTTTTGTGGGAATAAAAATGAGATAAATCTAGTTATTATTTCTTTCTTGATAATGAAGAATACTCCAAAATAATTAACTCACGACAAATATGAAAATATTACATTTCTCATATTCACATTTAAGAAGAAAAAAAATAATGTATGAAACAAACACCTTATTTACTAAGAGGAATATTTATATTTTGTGACTATACTTTAAATTGGGTTATTTTTTTTATGGAAGATAAATAAAAAATAAATTTTTTTATTTTATTTTATGCAAATGATTTTTAAGAGAAATATTGAAAATTACTTTTTAACTAATTAAGAGAAAATGAGTATACAAATGAATGAAAGAGAGAGAGAGAGAGAGAATTAGTACTATGATATTAATTAGAGAGAAAAAAAAATTAAGGGAATGGATTAGTATGATTCGAACTTGTTATTGTTATTGTAGTTTTAATGAAAAAAATTAAAATTAAATATTTTTGAAAGAGATATTTGTCCTATATATTCACAAAAAAAAAAAAAGTTTGTAATTATGAACATTTTCTTGATCAACCTCGATTTATTTTCTTTGGAAGTGCTTCTTTCATCAACAAGTATGAATTCAATACTTTCTAGTTTCTACACATTCCGGCCCATCCAATTTCTTTTTCATTTTTTATTTCCTCACTTTCTCTCTTTACTCCATAAAATGGCAGTGAAGAAGAGTCAGCCAGTCAACGAACGATTTGCCCATAAGTCAAAAGTTGTCTCATTTATTAAATCTTGTATATGCCCACCACAGAAATTAGTTATTATTTTTGTTAGGAGATCATTTTTACTAATATCATAGTTATAGAAGGAAAAAAAAAATTAAAATTAGTTGTTTTATGCAGAACTAAATATGTGATAACATGTTAAGTTGCCAACAAAAGCCTTCTACAAGTTAAAAACGTATGTAATTAATCTCTTAATTAAAAATTATTTTCGTCTACTAAAAGACATTAGTTCCTTTACATTTATGCTCAAATTAATCCTTGAAAGACCTAAATATTTACACAATTGTAGTCAGTTTTGCAAGTAATATTTACACAATTGTAGTCAGTTAAATAGGGGGTGTGAATTGTTTTAATTTTTTTTATATTAAGTTTAATTCTTATAAATTAAAAATATATATATGACCAACACCTATCTTAAGTGACATGAATAAGAAAAAAGAAAAATAGCCTAGTTTTTGTAATAAATACTATTTGACTTCCTCGTTTATACATTCATTACAAAACTTTCCGTTTCTAGTACGACGACTTATTTTTGCAATTTTGCTACACTTGTTATTTAATGTACATACATGCACCTACTCTAAACCATTCACTATCACACGGATATCTAGGTTTATTTTTTGACATGTAGCATCTTTAGTCTTCTAAGAACGTAAAACTTCATAAGAGAGTCCATTCTGTATAAACATATAAAAGAGTTTCCTACTCAATTAAGAATTAATTTTATTGAAAACTATATTAACAACTCAAAAATGAAAAAAAGAGTTAATCACTTATACACTGTCAATGTAAATTTTTTACACTGACAATCAATTATATCCTTTAATTGTACCATATCACGGTTAAAAATAAATTGTTTATAGTGACATGACACAATTAAAAAATATAATTAGTTGTCAATGTAAAAAAACTTTACACTGACAGTGTATAGGTGATTAACTCTTAAAAAAAATTTATGGTAGTTTAGTTTTCTAGCTTTTCTAGTGCCTTGTCTTTCAATTTTTTTTTTCTTCATATAGTTACACTACAACTTAAACTTTTTTTTGTATACGTTCAAAAACTACATGGCATCTTAAATTGTGACTTCAAATGTTCAACCCGAGTTAAGCTTGGCGACGATGGGGAATATTTGTTGCATTAATTACTCTTGGCAAACAAGTATCACGAAACTTGAAGGTGGGTCGTTAAACGTTACGTAACACGATCAATTAAAGTAACAAATATACTAATCGATTAGTCAAGTGGACCATAGGATTATAACCACCAGAAGGCCCCGAATGGATTCGATTTAAACTTAGTTAACTCACAGGTAATATAAAATCATACAGAATTCGCTTTATTTGGTGCATGATCGCATAATGCTGCAAATATACAGACATGTTTATCACACTTATTCTTCCCAGAAACATTAAGAAACCCGTGGGGCCATTCAACACTAATTATGCTTTTCTTTGCACATGACTGAAGGGTAAAACCGCTATCTTTTATGGGGATGAAGCAAAGTCATTGTCAGATTATTTAGTATGTGAAAATGGTCGATATTTTGGAATATCTAATTAAAATGAAAAAGTTTATATTCCACATTGTCATAATTAAAATTAGAACATTCACCCCAAATCAATGCCAATACTCTTCATCTATATGACGTAGGTCTTAGCTCAAGTATCCCTATGCAGTTACAGCAACATGGCACAATGGCTCAATTATATATAGAGCATTGGTCACACCCTTCTTGGCACAAAACTATTAGACGTACCTTAGAAAACAAAAACCATGGTGTCACCAATCTCACACTTGCCACTTTATTTGGTCCTCCTATTATCAGTTTCATTAGCTAATTCAGCTTCACTTCAAGAAAGTTTTATCCAATGTCTCTACTATAATTCAGACAGAACATTTCAATTTCGTTCATCAGTTTACGCTCCAACAAACCCTTCATTCACTACCATCCTTGACTCCTCAGCACAGAACCTAAGGCTTTTGGTGCCTTCAGCACCAAAACCCGAGTTCATATTCACACCCTTTCGTGATTCCCATGTCCAAGCAGCAGTGATATGCTCCAAGAAACTTGGGATTCACCTTAGAGTGCGAAGTGGTGGCCATGACTATGAAGGGATCTCATACGTTTCCGAAATTGAGAGCCCCTTCATAGTTGTTGACTTGGTCAAGCTCCGTGGCATCAATGTTGATATCCAAAGCAACACTGCTTGGGTTCAGGCTGGTGCCACAACTGGTGAAGTGTACTACAGAATATATGAGAAGAGTTCAGTTCATGGTTACCCTGCAGGCCTTTGCACAAGCTTAGGCATTGGAGGGCACATCACAGGAGGAGCCTATGGAACCATGATGAGAAAGTATGGTCTTGCTGCTGATAATGTCCTAGATGCTAAAATTGTGGATGCCAATGGAAGGATTCTTGATAGGGAAGCCATGGGGGAGGACTTGTTTTGGGCCATAAGAGGAGGTGGAGGTGGTAGCTTTGGTATCCTTCTTTGGTGGAAGATAAAGCTTGTTCCTGTGCCACCAACTGTGACAGTTTTTACAGTTACCAAGAGCCTTGAGCAAGGTGCAACCAAGATTCTTCAAAGGTGGCAGGAAGTGGCACCCTTTATTGATGACAACCTCTTCATCAGAGTCATCATTCAACCATCCAGTGCTGGAAACAAGACTCAGAGAACCATCACAACTTCTTACAATGCTCTCTTCCTTGGTGGGGCCAGAACACTCCTCCAAGTCATGAAGACAAGCTTCCCTGAGTTGGGTTTGACAAGAAAAGATTGCTTGGAAACTAGCTGGATCAACTCTGTGCTCTATATTGCAGGCTTTCCTAGCGGCACCCCCGCAGAGGTTCTGCTCAAAGGAAAATCAACATTCAAGAACTTCTTCAAGGCCAAATCAGATTTTGTGAGGGAGCCAATACCAGAAATTGGGCTTGAGGGGTTGTGGCAAAGGTTGCTCGTTGAAGACTCCCCCTTGATAGTTTTTAACCCGTATGGTGGAAGGATGAGCCAATTCGCAGAATCTGATACCCCATTCCCTCATAGAAATGGAACACTCTATAAAATTCAGTACTTATCTCTATGGCAAGAGGGAGACAAGAATGCTGAAAAGCACATAGATTGGATTAGGAAGCTTTACAATTACATGGGTCCTTATGTGTCTAGCTTGCCAAGGGAAGCATATGTGAATTACCGGGATCTTGATTTGGGAATAAACACCAAAAACAGCACAAGCTACATAGAGGCAAGTTCTTGGGGTTATAGATATTTCAAGAACAACTATGACAGGTTGGTAAAGATAAAGACCAAAGTGGATCCTCAAAACGTGTTCAGGCATGAGCAGAGTATCCCACCACTTCCACTCTGAGTGCACAAGGCAATAAATGGGAAATAAGGCACTGTGATGCTACAATCATTAATTAGACTTGTATCTATAAATTTGTGAGAGTTAATATGGATACAATTAGATTATTAGTTGAGTTGTTTTTGGTCAATTTAATGTTGTGAGATACAGATTATACACCTAATTGTTTGCTGTTTCTGTGATTTGTGTACTTCACTAAATTATGTACGAGTGACTGAAGTGTTGTTTCTCAAGCAAAAACTTTGCTATCACTATTGGTCTTCTAATTTCTTAACATGATTCTCTAGTTTCACTTGGAGGCACAAATAATAATGCTTAACAGTCTTGTCCTATTTTCCCTCCTTCTATTCATGGATACGGAATAGTATCTTTCACCACGCCATGTGCACTATATGGATCAATTTCCAAATTTTAGGCTTCTGCAAAACTCGTCGCTTTAAATTTGTCAAACCAATGGGATCTCAAAATTTTAGGAAGCATGATTATTTATGGGCACCAGTGAGGTGGTGAACATTTATTTGGGTCTGTTTTATACATTAAATAGAATATTTAAAACCCTGGAAACGAATATATTCTTATACTTTTCTTTTTGTTTTAAACCATGTAATAAAGTATTAGTGTTTGAGTTAAATAGCATCACTATGTAGATAAAACATAATATTAGAAAATTTCTTTTTTTTTTAAATGTTATTTGGTCAAAATATTTATTAGTTTAGTTAATAATTAATTTTCGGTTAAAGAATTTAATTGATTACTTTAGTAGAATCTTTTCTCTTAATCATATACTTTTTTATACAAAATTCAAAATTGAAATAATACTTAAAAATATCAAGTTCAATATCCTTCAAACTAATGATTTATTGATAATTTTTTAGTGTTTAATTCAGTTGCATATATTTAATCATATCTCCAAACAATATTTTTCATTCTTATACTAATCATACATGTAAAAATAATTTCATTAGAATTATTTTTATAATACATTATTCTATAACTGATTTTCAAATCTAAGTGACGAGGTCCAGGACCAGGAAGAAGGAGTTCAAAAGGAGTTGTGGTAGATAGATCATATTTCATTGAGACCTAGATTCATTTTTTTATTGCTGTAATTTTTTTTTTACAAATAAAAAAAGTGATTTTCAAATAAATATGTGCGAACAATCAATTATATCTATCCTATTTTAAATCAAAATTAAATTAAGTTTTAAAACTAATTTTTTTAATCATATTATTAGTGAAATAACTTCTTTCAATGAAATTTGTATTCTAATTATATTATTTTTTTATCTTGAAGACTCAATTTCAAGTAACACTTGAATCAAAGGAACCCTTTATATTTTTGTTATGACAGGTTAGCTTTTTGACTTGACAGCGGAAGACACTAATTTTATTCAGGAACAAATAAACCTACAGCCAGCCACGCATGTCTGTTTTCATTCATTTGCCAAGTAAATTCTTTATATATATATAAGTAAATTCTAACTAAAATTTTAGCATATATATTTTATAGGCTAAATTTTTATTATATATAACTAAAATTTATAATAAATTATATATATAAGTAAATATTATATTTAAATTAAAATATATATAACTTATATAAATAAATGTTTTAATTATATAAATTATATTTTAAGTTTAAAATAAATTAGATTAGAGTATAAAATTATTTTTAATTATTAATAATTTATTTTAAAATATTAAATTGAATTAATAAATAAAAAGATAAATTAAATAAAAATTAATATAATTTTTAAAAACGCTTTCTTCGATAAATATTTTCCCACACAGATCGACAACCGTTTATATATAGGAGTTGATTTGTTATGTTTATATACTGCTGGAATGTTGAGCTTTCAAGTAAGCTGTTGCTTATGGGGCCATGAATGGGCCTCATTGGGCTTTCCATTACAAATTCTTGTGTATTTTTCTTTCGGTGGATGAAGATATTTTGTTTAACCATACAAATTAGTGTTCTCCAGTGGTCTCAAGTGAAGTGATTAAGAGCTGACACGTGTAGAAACTACAATCAATAGAGCCATTTGATTTCTAATAAAATATTTTCCATCCCCTTCCCAGTCACCACCACCAAATATGAAAGGAGAAAATAATATTACGGATTACTAAATATTTAATTTTGAGTCTTAGTTTTGATAATAATAAAAAATACAGAGAAAAATAATTTTAATATAGTCAAGATTTAAAAAAAAAAGATAAATATTCTTGTCAATACCATATAAAAAAAAATAAAAAAAAATAAAGGATATAATCTAGAATTTTAATTTCACAGACAATACTATGTTAAGAGAATCACTCTATCACAATATTCCTTAATAAGATTAGTGACACATATTAAGTGTGAAAATTTCTAATAAAGTGCACCAATTAAAATTTTTTATAACCAATTTATTTGTATTTATATCAGTATTATAAGTGTTTGAAAATGTTTGAGTTTATAAAATTATGCTATAACTACTATATAAGACTTTTTAGCTTATTTTATAAGTTTGTTTATATTTATTATTTTTTATGTTTTCTTCTTTTTCATTAAAAAATATAATTTAATTAAATAAATTTACATTTTTTATATCTTACTAGTAATTTGTTTTATATGTTGTTAATATTTTTTAAGATATTTATTTACTTATGATAAAAGAAAGAATTGGCATGCTTACATATCATCCGCTTCTTATTCCAATTTTTTGTCATAAATTTTTTTTTTACTCTTTTTACTCAAAAACGTTATTTATAATATATTCAAATTCTACTTTTATTTTTTTCTTTTAACATTGATGGACTTATGACCTAGTTTATAAATGATAGTGATAGTCTTTGTTTCCTCTACTCTGAAGAAGCTATTCCTCTTTCATTTTTTCCATTTAACATTTATCAATTCATCATAGAGGTTATGAATAACGAGAATAATTTTTGTTTAGTCTTCTCTAAACAAGCTAAAATATCAAATCAAATTGTATTTTCATTACTCCTTCTTGCCTTTAGTATTGAGATTTTTTCTTTTCTTTTGGTTTCTCTTCTTCCTCTTGTCTTAAAATTTCGTTCTTCTTCTCTTCTACCTATTTTGTTCTCCTTTGTTCCTTACTTTATTCTTCTTTCATTTTTTTTTCCTTTTAACATCTATTGATTCGCCATAGAGGCTACGAGTAGTGGTGATAACTGTTGGATTCATCCCAAGTCCCACATCTGTAAAATAAAGGAACATTGGCTAGTTTATAAGGGTGTCCACCATTCTATATAGTATGAGGCCTTTTGGGAAGGAGCCCAAAAACAAAACCGTGCAGGACTAGCCCAAAGCGGACAATATCATACTATGGTGGAGCAACAAGTGGACTATCGGGACCAACAAGTGGTATTAGAGCCAACGGTTCGGCTGGGTTTGATGCGGGAAGACCCTCAGTGTTGTGCCTCGCGATGGAGATCCGAACTTGGTGCCTTGTGTCGAAAGTCTTCCTGATATTGTGGTGTTCAGGCGGCGTGTCCCGTTAGTGTCCCGTAGAGTTAACGGCGGTACAAGATGGTGATGGATTATCGCTTGAGGGGAGGAGGTCACGAGACATGTGGTCCTTGGTCTGAGGAGAGGTTTGTTGGGATTCATCCCAAGTCCCACATCTGTAAAATGAAGGAACATTGGCTAGTTTATAAGGGTGTCCACCATTCCATATAGTATGAGGCCTTTTGGGAAGGAGCCCAAAAACAAAACCGTGCGGGCCTAGCCCAAAGCGGACAATATCATACTATGGTAGAGCAACAGTTGGACTATCGAGACCAACAATAACCTTTGTTCAATCTACTATGAACAAGCTAAAATGTCAAATCAAATTATATTTTAATTACTCATTCTTGCCTTTAACACCTATATTTTCTCATTTCTTTTGGTTTCTCTTCACCTTCTTTTCCCACTCTGTTCTTCTTCTCATTCTCTTCCAATTTCATTCACTTTTACTTCTTATTTGTTTTTATTCTCTTTATTTTGAGTTTATTTTTCCATTTTGTCTCGCAATATGTTATGAGAAGGTTGTTGTACAACAGTGTGGAGTGTGTGTAAGATTGTTCCTATGATGATTTTCTTTCATTTTCATCTTCAGAAAATCAAACATTGTTCTATGGGTAACATTTCCATGTTTTTCATTTTAAGATTCACAATACATTTGCCAAATTTTTTAGTATCTCCACAAGTTTCAATTTTCACATTTATTATTTATTTATTTTTACTTTAGACTTTGTGATTTTGCTTTTAGCCTCTTTGCATGTATTTGTGTTCCATTTCCGTGTTCTATACACTATTAGTCTTTCATATAGTTAGAGAATTAGCTAGCTTTATTCATGCTCTCAACTTGGATTGGAAGATAAATTCATTTCATAGTACACATGTTAAAAACTTTAAGTGATAAAATGTATTTAAAACTATATAATTTGTGTAATAGTTAATAAAAGAAATTTATTGATAGATTGTTAACCGAAATAAATGAAAATAAAATATTTTTACATTTTATAAAAACAAAAATGAGTTAATAAATTGAGTTGGCTCGGGTCAACCCAAGTTATATTAGTCAAACCCATGAAAAAAATGAGTCAACATTTTCTTAATCCCTTAAAGTCATGAACCGGGTTGGTCCAGATTGGTTCACGAGCAGCCGAATCGATATCTCTACTTCAGAGTTCGATGTGTACGAACTGTGTGTATTCCGTTCGAATGTTCCATTCCTGATAATTAGAGTTGAACGAGTTACATTCTGACTTCGTTGCTGCAAGTTTTTTTTTTCTTTACCGCCACCGTTTTTCTCTTTTCTTCTTCACTGAATGTGTTAAATTTTGCTATTCTTTTTCTTTGCTTGCAATTATGACAACCTCAATTATAACCACGATGCTAAAGAATTTGCTGGTGCATGATCGCATAATGAATCACTTATTTGTCTATTATGTATAACTATAATAAAGTTGATAAATCTTTAAATTACTCTTTTATTAATCACACCTTTTAAATAATTGCCTAATTTTACTACTTTTTTTGTTTTATGTTTTTTTAATGAGAGAGACACAATTTCAAATATATATTTTTTTTAAATAAAAACAAAAACATAAAGTGCATTTTTCTACTATTTTTACGTAAAAATGTTAATAAATCCGTGGGGCCATTCAACACTAAACGATAATATCACTTTCATGGGGATTTAGCAAAGATTATGTTTCACAATCCACAATATTCAGATTATATTGTGAAAATGGTCCATGTTCTTGGAGTCAAGTTAAAATGTAAAAAGCTTATGTTCCACAATCCACTCTTATAAGTAAAATTAGAACATTCACCCCAATCCAATGTCAATACTCTCCAGCTGTATGACGTATGTCTTAGCTCAAGCATCCCTCATTCCCTCCCCATAAAATTACACCATTCTGTCACTAAAGCTCAATTATATATACAACATTGGTGACACCCTCCTTGGCACAAACCAGAGTCCAAAACCTGAGAACACAAAAACCATGGTGTCACCATTCTCACACTTGTCGCTTTTAGTTGTAGTCCTCCAATTATCAGTTTCGTGGGCAAATTCAGTTTCACTTCAAGAAAGTTTTGTCCAATGCCTCAGCTTGATTTCTGACAGAACATTTCCATTTAACTCAACAATTTACACTCCAAACAATCCTTCATTCACCAGCGTCCTTGACTCCTCCGGTCAGAATCAAAGGCTTTTGGTGCCTTCAGCACCAAAACCCAACTTTATATTCATACCACACCGTGATTCCCATGTCAAAGCAGCTGTGATTTGCTCCAAGAAACTTGGGATTCATTTAAGAGTCTTAAGTGGTGGCCATGACTATGAAGGAGTCTCGTACGTTTCCGAAATTGAAAGCTCCTTCATTGTTGTTGATTTGATCAAGCTCCGTGGCATCAAAGTTGATATCCAAAGCAACACTGCTTGGGTTCAAGCTGGTGCCACAAATGGTGAAGTGTACTACAGAATATATGAGAAGAGTTCAGTTCATGGTTTCCCTGCAGGCGTTTGCACAACTTTAGGAATTGGAGGGCACATTACAGGAGGAGCATATGGAACCATGGTAAGAAAATATGGTCTTGCGGTGGATAATGTCCTAGATGCTAAGATTGTTGATGCCAATGGAAGGATTCTTGATAGGGAAGGCATGGGGGAGGACTTGTTTTGGGCCATAAGAGGAGGTGGAGGTGGAAGCTTTGGTATCCTTCTTTGGTGGAAGATAAAGCTTGTTCCTGTGCCACCAACTGTGACAGTTTTTACAGTTAACAAGACCCTTGAGCAAGGTGCAACCAAGCTTCTTCACAGGTGGCAGGAAGTGGCACCCTTTGTTGATGAGAACCTCTTCATCAGAGTCCTCATTCAGAAAACACAGAGAACTATCACAACTTCTTACAATGGTCTCTTCCTTGGTGGGGCCAGAACACTTCTCCAAATCATGAAGACAAGCTTTCCTGAGTTGGGGTTGACAAGAAAGGATTGCTTGGAAACTAGTTGGATCAAATCTGTGCTCTATTTTGCAGGCTTTCCTAGTGGCACCACCCCTGAATTTCTGATGAAAGCAAAGGCACAAAAGGTCTTCTTCAAGGGAAAATCAGATTTTGTAAGAGGACCAATACCAGAAACCGGGCTTGAGGGGTTGTGGAAAAGGGTGCTGATAGAAGATAGCCCCTTGATAGTATGGAGTCCCTTTGGTGGAAGGATGAACCATTTTTCAGAATCTGATACCCCATTTCCCCACAGAAAAGGAACACTGTTCATAAGTTTGTACTTGTCCTTTTGGCAAGAGGGAGAAAAGAATGTTGCAAAGCACATAGATTGGATTAGGGACCTCCACAACTACATGGGTCCTTATGTTTCTAGCTCCCCGAGGGAACAATATGTGAACTACCGTGATCTTGATTTGGGAATAAACACCAAAAACAACACAAGCTACGTAGAGGCAAGTTCTTGGGGTTATAGGTATTTCAAGAACAACTTTGACAGGTTGGTAAAGATAAAGACCAAAGTGGATCCTCAAAACGTCTTCAGGCATGAGCAGAGCATCCCACCACTTCCACTTTGAAAGCACAAGGCAGAAATTAGAAATAAAAGGCAATGTGATGCTACAATCATTAAACTGTGGTATCTATAAATTTGTGAACTTGTTTGGAGCAATAAGGACACAGTTTGATATGTTACTTTGTTTTTGGTCGAGTTAATGTTGTAAGATACTACTTATTGCTATCTGTCTTCTCTATTTGTATATTTCGCTAGACAATGTGTCGGTGTGAGTGAAGTGTTTCTTCCCAAGAAAATAACTGTGGTATCACTAGTTGTATTATTCTGTCAAACATGATTCTCATGTGTGTCAGTTTTAGAAGCACAAAAAATAATTCTTAGCAGAGCAGCTTTGTCCTATTTTCCCTCCCTCTATCAAATAAATTATTGGATAGGGTCCATAGGGAAAACGTATCTCTTTCTACCTACCAATTATTATGTCCACCATCACCATATCGATCAATATTCAAACTTTTAACCATGTCAGCCAAGACAAGTTCCTGCCAAACACTACGCTACACTTGAAGCTTTAGATGGGTACCCAATCGATGTGTTTCTCACCTCCAAATTTTCCTTTATCGGTGTTTATTGTGTGTTATAGCTTGTTAATGTTCCGATGGATTAATCTCTAGGCCTTGTTCGATCTTGGGTCTGATTATTAGTTAGCATAGCATGTGGTCTTTTACATGTACTACGACTGCTTCTATAAAGAAAAATAACTTTTTTAACGAGTCTCAAACTATATCAATGGTGTTTGGTGCTAAAAGTTTATACACACATGACTTCACATTTATATTGTTCACTTTAAGCTTAAGTTTTTATGATTTTATTTTTAATCATATTCCAAAAGGTCTCATATTATTGGAATGTAAACAAGTTTCACATTATTCAAACAAAATAATGGACATAGGTTTATATACATAATTGTTTTAATTGGTTAGAGGTCTTTTGGAAGATGACCAAAAGTAAAATCATAGGGGTTTAGACCGATATCAAAGCTGATGGTTTCAACCAAATGACTGACTTAGAGTCTCGGATAGTCAAGTGATGTGTCCTATTGATGTCACCTAATAGTGGGGGACCTCTATTGAATACACATAAATGAAAAAAAAAAGAGATTAAATCATGATCCTTTGTTTGAGGGGAGGAAAGTCTCATATCATTGGATCATGACGAGGAATAAAGGTTTATAAAAGCACAATAGTCTCCATTAGTATGAGACCTTTTGGGAGATGATTAAAAACAAAACCATGAGGATTTAAGTCCAAAGTGGACAATATCATACCCCCAATGAATACTCGTAGATGAAAAAAAAGGGAAGATAAAGTCACGGTCTTTTGTTTGAGAGGAGATTTGTTAGAGTACAATAAAGTCTCACATCATTGGTTTATGAGGAGGAATAAAAGTTTAAAAAACACACAAAGTCTCTATTGGTATGAGGTCTTTTAGGAGAAGACAAAAAAAATCACAAGGGTTTAGACTCAAAGTAGACAATATCATACCAATGTGGAGATATGTGTGAGTGAACCTCAGGTGCCTAACTTTAATTTCACTAGGTGATGATGGAGTTAGCAGGTGGATTTGGATAAAGGATCCCTTATACCAAAAGTCTTCCTGACGGTGAGTTCATATATGGAGAGTGTCCTCTTGATAATATGAAAGGTTAACACGATGGAGCGACGATGCAAGTACTTTGAGCGTGACTAGGCTCTATAAATTATTTTTGCTACAAGAAGGGTAAACCATGATTCTTTGTTTGAGGGAAAAATTGTTAGGATACAAGTAAAGTCCCACATCGTTCAAATAAGAGGATGAACATGAGTTTGTATACACATAATTATTCCCATTGGTTAGAGACATTAAGAAGAAATTTGGTGAAGGATCATCTCGTTTCGCGAATGTGGCAAAGATTGATGACTCATATTATTATAGCGAGGAGATCTTTTTGTCTCATGTAGTCAACTTACAAATGCTTAGATCCTTGATTTTGGATGATCTTATCATATGACTCCAAACAGGGAGTGGTTCACCACATATAGGTCACTTGAGGAAAAATTTGATCTCGCTTGATACCTTGAGGCAAATGGTTTCAACTGAGAGACAAATGGAGATCAGGATACCCTCAGAGTGTGCAAGGGAGCCTTGACTACCAATTCTTAGCAATAGCAATCGAATTCTAAAACAAGAGAATAAAACACTTAACATACAAACAAGGGTTTAACGAAGTTAGACAACATGCCAAGATCATCGGGAGTAAAGCGAGTGTTTTCTATTATATTATTAATTAGAAATAAAGTTACATACACCTCAACCCAATTAATTTGTAATTCAACAAATAAGGTCTACCCATTATGAATATGAGTCATGCACACTTATGCACAACATCTGTCTACCCATTATGAAAGAACTTTGCACAACATCTATCCTTTTTTGACTTTTTATAGCCTCTTGAAAGTTAGATGAATCTCCAAAACTGGTGAGAAGTGCAAAAGAAACTATATCTTCAAACTCATACTTGGTGGGTGGCTTAATTGTACGACATTCCTTATTTTTTACAAGAGTGTACTATTATTGTTCACTAAAACTATTAGGGTCAAGTGTTGGTCATTTAATATGAACTTCTCATCAAAAACTACATCTCTATTGATCACCGTCTTATTTAAATTTGAATCCCAGAACTTGAGCCTCTTCACACCTTAAGCATAACCTGTCCATATCTCCTCTACAACTTTGCAATCCAATGAAGCTCGTGGTGATCGATTAAGTAGATAACATGCCATGTTAATTGCCTCTACCCAAAATCTTTTTGAGAGCCCAACATTTAGCCTCAAACACCTAGCCCTTTTAGGGAGAGTCCTATTCGTCCTTTCTACAATACCATTTTGTTTTGGTGTCTTACGCACTAAAAAAAGCATTTGAATTCCTTGTTCCTCATTGAATTTATGAAATTGTGAATTTGTGTACTTTGTGTCATTGTCAAATGTCAAATTCTTAATTTTTCTACCTATCTAGTTCTCCACCTCATCCTTCCACAACTTGAACTTGTCAAATACCTTGAAATTCTGCTTATGGAATACACCCAAACCTTGCAAGAAAAATTGTCAATAAAAGTGACAAAGTATTTAGAATGTCCCAATCATGGATCTTCAGTAAGCCCTCATACATCAGTATGCACATAATATAGAATCTCTTCGGTTTTGTGTTTTGCAACTTTGAAACAAATTTTGGATTGTTTCCCAAGTACACAATACTTGCAAAAATCTAACTTGCAGGTCTTAACTCCCTTTAAGAGACCTCTCTTATGAAGTTTTATCATCCCACGTTCACTAAGATGACCTAAACGCTTATGCCATAATTATTTAGTATCATCGTTTGACTCAATAGAAGTGCTCCACCTAATATTGTACTCCCCAATAGTATGTAAATATTGTTTGGAGTCTTTTGTCCTTTCATCACAGTCAAGGCTCCCTTGCACGCTTTGAGTGTATCCTGATCTCCATATGTCCTATAGTTGAAACCATTTGCCTACAAGGTACCAAGTGAGATCAAATTCTTCATCAAGTCAAGGATGTGCCTTACATCACACAACATCCTTATGCCATCATCATCCATAGAAATTTTAACTTGTCCTATTCCAACAATAGTACAAACTTTATCATCACCTAAATAGACTAATCAAAATTGCTTGACAGTATGTTGTTAACCACTCCCTATTTGGCATCATACGATAAGAGCATCCTGAATTAAGAATCCAAGCATCTATAAGCTGACTACATGAGATAGAAAAAACATCTCCTTTACTATAGTAATTTGAGTCATCAATCTCTGCTACATTCGCAAAACAGGATGATCCTTCACCAGATTTCTTTTAGTTTGGACAATCACTTTTAAAATGTCCCCTTTGTTTGCACTTATAACATATCACACTCTTTCTGGTTTTGAAATTTGACTTCCTCCTCGTAGAACTTGTCAATCCTTACGTCTTCCCACGTACTTGATTCCCCTTCATATGTAGACCCTCGCCTTGAGAACCCTCTTCCACATTTTGTTTCCTTTGACTGTGAGACATAAGTGCAACAATGATCTCTTCCTACCTGATTGTTTCTTTCCTATATATGAGGGTAGTCACCAAGTGTTCGTAAGAACTTGGGAAAGAACATAATTGAATCATTACCTTATCCTTATCATCAATCTTCACATCAAGTCTTAGTAAAACACTGATTGTCTGATTAAAGGCATTGATGTGCTATTGCAAATTAGCTTCTTCTTGCATTTTCATCCCATATAGTTTTTTTCTTGCTATACAACTCATTCGTTAAGGACTTGGATATATACTGCTTCTCCAATTGCTTCCCTACATCCCCCGAAGACGTCGACTCCATAACATGATATAACACCTCGTCTACCAAACAAAGTCGTATGTTTCCCAACGCCTTTAGAAATCCTTGTTGTGCCAACAAATCCTTAAACCTCCTTTGCCATAATCCAAAATTCCTTGTTTCATCGAAATTTTTGACTTCTAATTTTGTAACAAGGTTACGCGTCATCTGATACCAATTGTTAGCAATAACAACCAAATTCAAAAATAAGAGAATAAAACATTCAACACACAAACAAGAGTTTAATGAGGTTTAGCAATGTGTCTACATCATTAGGAGTAAAACAGGTGTTTTCTATTATATTATTAATTAGAAATAGGTTACATCAAGTATATATAAAGAGGGCATAGTCCTGCACCCCCAATCCAATTAGTTTGTAACTCAACAAATAGATGACTCAAACCCAATCTGCTCTACTCCAACATCTACCTACCCATTATGAATGTGAGTCATGCACACTTGTACACAACATATACCAATAAAGATTATGAGTGTGTATGAATCTCGAGTACCTAATTAATGGAAAAAAGACTTTTAAGATCGATTATTTTGACTTTTAAGATTAGTTAAAGAATGGATCTTAAAAGAGACAATCTTAAAAGTTAGAATTTTAAGATCAATTATGGAATAACTGATCTTAAAAGTATCAGTTTAAAGATGAACAACGATGGCTAACGTAGGGCTACATTCAGGCAAAACATCATCGAAGATGAAGTACGCGCGTTCAGACTGCATTCATGAAGCGAGGGAGTCACACACACAATTGGGTGAACGATCGATGGGGAGCAACAGAGGTGTGAGGGGTTGTGTCTACAAAGCAAGAGAGATCAAGCGAGGGAGACATGCACAAGGAAGAATGACCAAGGGGGAGCAATGGAGGTGAGAAGGGTTGCATTCATGGAGCATGAGAGACCAAGTGAGAGATAACAACCAACGGGGAGTGACAAAGGTGCAAAGGGATGCATTT